TTGGCCTGCTGAGTCACACTCAGCTGCAGCAGAGGTGATGGGACTTTTCCAGGCTCATCTGAAATGGCGACTGTGGGCCCATGCTTGGAACAGCCCCAAGCCCTGGCTTTGCTAAGTACTCTGAACAGCTCTTGCCAAGGTGTGTGCCTTGGAGCTGACGCCCTTTGGGAATCCTTACAGATGGAAAGTCTGTACAGTGTTAGAGGGAGGCGGAGCTCTCCACTAGATCGCACATTGGGGTCCCCTGGATGCTGCCAGAGTCTGATCTAATTGGTCTGGGTTGCAGCTTGGGCATCAAATTTGTAAAGCTCCCCAGCTGCTTCTAATGTGTCGTCAAAGTTGAGAACTACTGGATTAAGTGATTACAGAGTTATTGACAGAACGAGGACTCAAAGGTCAGGATAGAGGAGGTCTTTTCCAGTAACAGAACAAGATCAGGGTGAGCAGAGGGCCTGCAAAGGTGGGAAGAAAATGCCCAGAGGAGAGAAAGTGTGGTGTGTCACTAAGGTGAGAAGGCTAGGAGGCCAACAGGGTGAACCAGAGCCTGACCACTAAGAGCCTCATGGGTGGATTTCGTCTGCAAAATAGCCAGCCACCCGCGTGGCGTGGCACACTCAGAATGGGCATGTGGGCACTAACATGTAGGCAGAGCTCGAGGCTAGGGACTTCAGAGTCGGGACAGTAGGCACCCATTGAAGAGGCCAGATATGATCAGATTTGCATTTTAGGGAAATGATTCAGGAGTCTGGCGCAGTGGGACGGCTCTGAGAATGTGGGACTAGAGATGGGGAATGGCCGAGAAAGCTGCTGTTGTCATAGAGGCAGAAGGACAAACACTGAGTAGGAAGATGGGCAGGATTTGGTCTTCAGTTCAAAAGTGGCTTCTAGGTTTTTTCCGGGTTACGTGATGTGGGATCTGGAGGAGGAGCAGGTATGGAGGAGCTGAGAGGTGCCTGTGGGATGTGGGAATGAAGGTTTGGTGTGACCCAGCTGGACACGTACAGGAAGCACTTGGACATGGGGTCTGTTTCTTAGCTGGGTAGTGAGCTGGAGAAGCGTGGGGAGCTGGTCACTGGAATCTAAATAGCAGTAGAGGAAGATGTCGAGAGACTGTGTAGAATAAAAAGAAGTAAGGGTCATGCTCCAGAGAACATCCCCATTGACAGAAGAAGAGGGTCCTTGGTAGGAAGAGAAGAGTGGGCACCTGTAAGCCAGAGACAAGAACCTCAAAGACAGGAGAACAGAAGCACCTGAAGACATCCGTGTTGGTATGGTTTGTTCACGGCCATGTCCTTAGCACCTAGAACAGTCCTGCCCATAGTAAGGGACACCTGGTATGTAGTGGGTGGATAAACAGAGTGAAGGAATGCGTCAGGTGACCTAGAGGTTGACCTGGACAAACTGGACAAATCAGCCTCATGTTGCTGAATGTATGAGACCTGACAGTGACCCTGTGGTGACAAAGGCTGACCAGGTGGAGCCGTGTGGGTAGATACCTCCCTGCAGTGGGTCGAAGAGGGAGGGAAAGATGGGAAAGAGTAGAGACAGCCCTTCCAGGCCCTTCTGAGAGACTTGGTGGGGAAGGGAGAAAAGGGGTGGTAGCCGGAGGGGTCGTCCAACTAGGTTTTTTTTTTTTAAGATGAAGACTTCATTTTTCACCAGGTTGTAAAAAATCGACAGAGGAGGAGAAGGTGGGATAAGGAGGGGAGAGGGGTCCTTTAGGAGGCACGTAGAGGTGGAGCAGAGCTGAAGCCGGGAGGGACTAAGATATTCCTTAGGTTGTGGATGTGGACAAACCCAGAGCAGAGTTCTTCAATTCTGGGGCCTCCTGTCTATTCAGAAACAGGGAAAGGTGAGAACTGCCGAGGACGCTGGGTGGGGCGGCTGGCCAGGTGTCTCCAAGGCCTAGTGGGCAGCCCAGAGGGCTCAGCTGAGCCTTTAAACGGCATTTACAGGCACCTTTGTGGGCACCTGTCCAAAGGTCACATCAGAAACCAGCCTCTGAGGACCGAAGGGAGACCTGAGTGGCCAACATCGATAGCACACACACTGAACTCCAGCGGCATTTCCTGGGGCACGCACTCAGGCTGCTCCATCTGTTTGCTTTTGCACTTTACACAAGCTTGGCCGTAGTTTTTTCCAACCAGGAGCAGATTAGAAGTGACAAACTTGACATGTGAAGCGGGGCTAGGACGACACAAGAGTAAGAGCTGAAAGCGCAGCTCAGAGCCCGCTCATGGAGGCGCTGAAGCCATTGTCCTGGGGTGGCACAGGGATTCACTTCTGCCAACACTTCCCTTCCACAAAAACTGTGCCAGGTACCGTCCCAGACAGTGTGGAGGGATAGAGGGGTGAACACAGCAGGCACCTCCTGGCCCTCGGGGAGCTGCCTAACACATGGTCTGAGCTGGGCCCTCTCCCTGCCCTGCAGACTCACCATCAGAGGGGCGGAGAGACCCCTTGGGGAAAGCCAGAGTATAACTCAAGGAGGGCTTCAAGGTGCTGTGGGAGCAAAGAGGAAGGAATGGCTCATGCTGGGGCCGGGTGATGGGAGAGAGAGGAAGGGCTTGACAACCCTGCTAGACCTTGAAGGGTGGGTCGGCCTCGTGGGGAAGGAGGGCAGGTGTCCCCGGCAATGGGGACAGCTTGTGCAGAGATGCAGCGGCAGGAAGTGTTCCGCTGATGCGGGATGATGAACACGCCGACTGCCTTTGTCTGTTTAGAAGGACTTTCTCTTAGGAAACTGCTGGGCCAGCCGGGTTGGCCTGCTCTGCCGAGGAGACTGCCTACTAATGGTGAGGATGCCAGTCCGGCTGTTAATTACAAGAAGCTTGGTCTGCTCGTGAGACAGGCCCCAAAGGGCTTCCTCCTGGAAGTGGTTAATTAATCATAACATTATCTTAAATGTTTACAAAGCACCTCCCCATAAATTATCTCCTCTCACTAGCCCCACATGGCGGGTGGGGCTGGGGTTATCTTCCTTGTCTCATGATGGAGGAAATCGAGGCTCGCAGACTGGACTCCGGGCCTCAAACCTCCTCGCCCGCCCCTCCTTCCCCTGCCCCATACTGCATGAGTGATGACGACATCCCTGTGTCTTGCCCCTGCCAGGCCTCCTGTCTCTCCCGGGGAGAGGGGAGGAGGCAGAGGAGGCAAGCCCAGCCACAGAGAGAGTGAATAAATGAACAAGGGCATCCTGACCGGCATAGTGGGTGGATGGAGAACTGCCTCCCCGCCCCACCCCCCCCCGCCCCGCAAGTGGCTTAGTTGCCAACAGAGATGACTAAAGCCCATTTAGAAACCATGAATTCCTGGCCAAGGGACAGTGTCAGGCATGTCTGAGAATGAGGCATCCTCAGAAACCAGACAGCTTAGGCTAAAAAGGGCCTGATGGTCCGTTGGCTCAACCTTCCTTATTTGACAAAGGAGGGACTTGGTCTGGAGAGCAGACGAGGTCTGCCCAAGATGACCCACTTGGTGAGTGAAAATACTGAAAGTAGGGCCTGCCTCCCAGCCCAGGCCTCTGCCCCCTCAGGCTGAGCTGGGCACCATCTCCTTAGCTCTGCCTGGATCCATGGAATCCTGGGTCCCCTCTCCCCTTCACCCATCTCCTCTAATCCCAACCCTCACAGCTTACTGTGTGCCAGGCATTGTTCTAAGTGCTTTAGAAATCATAATGCAGTTGTTTCTTATAATAGCCCCATTAGGTAGGCACTATAATCCCTGTTTTATAAGAATCTGAGGCACAGAGATGTTAAGCAATTAAACCAAGGACACACAGCTAGTAAGTGGCAGAGCTGGGATTTGAATCCAGGGAGTCCGGCTCCACTCTGCGTCCTTGACCACTGTAGAAGGAATGGCTGTTATTCCTAGAGTCAGATGGGCACTGAAACACCCTTTCACACACCCACCTGCTGCCCAGCTAGTCCCTCCCGCTCTGGCTTCTGAGCTGAGTCAAGCTCAGTCATGTATAGACATCTCAACAGTTGCACAACCTCTTTCAACATTGCACCCTGTCACAGCTACATCATCTCGTAAGTCCCTCAGAGGCATGGCTTGTTTATCAACTAGTGACCGCCCTTTCTTTCTACCCCCAGCCCTGTGCTGGGACCCAGAGACACGGATGACTCATATCGTCCCCATGTTGAAATTTAGTCTGGAGGGAGCGCACAGTACCTTGTAGTTCACTGTCGCCGGGCAGTGCTGGAAACCTGGACAGGCCAGGGGAGGGAGAAGGCACCTGGCCCACCGAGCAGGGTTTGTCTCAACACTATTGATGTTTGGGGCCAGACAGTGCTTTGGTGTTGTGGGGTCTGTCGCATGCATAGTAGGATGTTCAGCAGCATCCCTGGCCTCTCCCCACTAGATGCCAGATGTCCTCTGGGGGCCCAGTCGCCCCGTGTGAGAAGCATTGCAGGAGGGAAGGAGGGGTGGTTATCAGGAAGACTTTCCAGAAAGGTGTTTGTGCATTCTCTGGAAGGAAAGCTCACCAGGGAAAAGGCGAAGAAGCAGCACGCGGGCAAATGCAGAGGCACGAGGTGCCCAGGGGGGAAGGGGGAGTTGCTGTGTGGGAGTGGGAGGAGCCACTTCATCCTGAGGGTAGGGGTAGGGGCAGGGAAGGCTGGGGGCTGCACAGGGCGATGAAGACCCCAGCCCCATGTCTGCAGGGGAGCCCTGGAGACCAGGGAGCAGGGAGGGGCCGGAGAGAAGGCCTGGCCAGGGTTTGGAGAGAAGTCACCTCAGGGTTCTTCTGGAGAGGCAGCCTGGGTGGTCCGATCCTCTGCTGTGAGGTTGGAGCCCAGCTTCTAGCTCCATCCGGCTGCCATGGCCTCTTCCCCCAGGTCCCAGGGAGGCAGGGCTTTCTGTCCAGCCCCACCTGTAGCATCTGGCTCTGAACTCCCAGCTGCCCCTGGGGTGTGGCTGAGGGTTGCTATGGAGACATAAGCTCTGGGCTGGATGGGGGCAGCCCCAGCTGGTGGGGAGGGGAAGGCGGGGAACAGGGAATAGGCCTCAAGGCCAGGCTGAGGGACCGAACTGGACAGGTTGGCCTTGCCTCCTAACTGGCGCTCAAGGCTCAGGTGGCTGTTTAACCCCTTTATCCCCACAGTAACATCTACGAGAGAGAGACGAGAGGGCTCTGACTCCCTCTTGGGGTAATCTGGAAGACCCAGGCCTCCTGGGATAGAGGAATGCCCACAGGGAAGGAGGGCAAGACCAGACGGAGGTTCCGAAACATAGACTCCGCCTCTTGGCAGTAATCTAGAATTCTAGATCAACGGTTGGCAGGAGAGCCAAATCCAGCTAGCAGCCTGTTTTTGTATGGCCTGTGGGCTAAGAATGGTTTTTATATTTTTAAAAGATTAGGGAAAAAAAAGAAGAAAAATAAGCAACAGAGGCCATATGTGGTCTGCATACCCTAATATTTTCTATCTATCCTTTTATATGAAATGTGTACCAGTCCCTGCTCTAGATAACTTTGACTTGCATGCTTCCCACTGACAGGGAACTCACTACCAGGTAATCTCATCCTCCAAAGCCTAGAAAGCTCTTTCCCTTGAGCTGAAGTTTGTGCCCTGGAGCTTTGCAGAATTCTGGGTCCTTCTGCCAGGGGCAGCCAGGCAGGGTCTGTAGCTAGAGCTTTACTCCCTGAGGCAGGCCCCGAGTTCCTTCAGGTTCTTTCTTAGGCTATAAGTTCCTTAGAGCAAATGCTCTGTCTTCCAGCAATTTTATAATGGAAAACCCTGTCCGTAATGCTCCTCGGAAGATGGCAACCTCCCTCTTGGAGAACAACAGCAGTGAGAGTAACGACCTCCTCCATGCGGGGCAGCATGTTCCGCCTCACAGCCAGGGCCTCCCTGCAGCCAGAGCCTGCACACAGAGGAAGTCGGAATTTCCTGCACAGAAGGCAGACGTGTGGTCCTTCAGCCGCAGTGGCCTGGGGTGGGGGTGGGAGACTCCCAAGGAGTCAGACAGGACGTGAGCCTCCTCCCCCGACCCCAGGAGAACTGCCGGGGTGAGAAATGGCTTTTTCCTGGAAACCCTCCAGTCCACGTGATCTCAGCTTCTGCACGCTGGCCCCTACAGTGTCGCTGAGTGGGCCTCTGCCCTCTGGTGCAGTGAGGGGGTGATGGGAGAGATCGCTAATAGCTCCCGACCCTACACGGGCTGACGCCGTGACAGCCCCCCTCACACTGACCGGGCCCCTCCTTTCTCCCCAGCGTGCATGTCCTCACAGACCCTCCGCGGGGTGGAGAGGTTGGGGATGGGCTGGGAAGGCAGCAGAGACGCAGAGGGAGGCTGCGCCTGGGGCATTCCACGTGCGGCCATGTTGGGGAGTAATGAATCGTCAAAAGTGGAACCTGGCTTCGGTGGATGGGAGGAGTCAGAGCCCGGGTGAGCCGCAGGGCAGGTGCTGGAGGGGTAGAGAGGAGGACAAATTTGGAGGCACAATCGACAGGACCTGGTCATTGACTGGATGGGGGCCGCGGCAGGATCAAGGGCATCTCCCAGGCTTGTGATGAGCACATGAGGTGGGAGCGTTCAGAAGAGGCACGTGCCAGCCCTGGCCTCAAACGGGGCTGAGGAGGCTGCCATTATCCCTGCTGTGGAGATGGGCTCTGTGGGATCCTGTTGGGGGTTACTACCTAAGTAGGCTCCTCTTCCCGTGGGTGGTACCCAGCCACTGCTAGGATGGATGCTGAGGGCTATGACTGAGCGGAAGAGGTGACCTCAGAACTTCTCCCCATGTAGGGTTCTGATTCTCCAGGGACTCCCTGCTCTCCTGGGCCTGAGGCCAGCTTTGAGCCCCACATGGGGCATGGACCCCCAGTGGGGAGAAGACACAGCGTCCATACCAGCAGCAGGAATGGAAAACCAGGCATAGCTTCTTCTCAGAAATCTCAAGCACCAGATCCGGAGGGAGGAACCCACTGCACAGCCCTGGCTTGGCCAGGAAGTGCTACAGGGGTGTGGAGAGGATGAGGCAAAGGTGAAGGGGGCTGGCCGCTCCCCTCCCCTCAACCCCATAAAGTGGTCTGAGTAGCAGAGGGGCTCACGAGCCACAGAGGAGCAAGCCCTGGACAAGGTGTGGTCCCTCTGACTTGTTACCACAGGCAGGAGACTTACCTCGGGGGCTCTGGTAACACCTCACTTAAGCACGCGGTCCTCTTATTGGCTGCCTCCTCCTCTCCAGCCCACCCTAAGAAGAGAGTTAAAGACCTGAACTGCCAAAACAGAAACCTCACCCCACATCCTTAAGCTCATTTAGGCAGTAAGCCCTTCCCCAGCCCTTACTTATTGACTCTTTCTTGCACACGATTCAAACAAGTTCCATTAGCTGACTTGTTGGCAAAATTCAATAGGATACGTGGAGAGTTCTGTGAGACAAGCATCTGAACCACGGGAGGAGCGGGGAGGGCAGACCCTGAGAACTACGGAAGGCGAACATGAAGAGCCATCTGGAGCAAACACCCCTTCTTGCCCCTGCAGAGGGCCCCAAGGACATCCGTGCCCTGGAGCCCTGCTCGTGGGCAGCGAAGTGAGAGTGACAGGAGGGAGAACACTTTCCGCCCAGAGGATGGGTCAGGGAGGGCGTGGGCCCTCAGAAGGGTGAGTGTCGTCTGTGTGGACAGCTCCCTTACCCAGGACAGTTTGTTCTCTGCAGAGCCCGATGCATGAGGCATTCCTGTGCCCGTCCAGCCCTCCTGTGGGGCTGGTTTGTCCACTGAAGAACACAAACACTTTGTGTTCTGTTTTGTTAAAATCTGCCTTCCCTCTGCCCCCAGCAGAAGCCAGGGGCTCCCAAGAGGGGAGCCTAGGTCCTTCTTCATTGACTCCTCAATTCTACTCACCAGGTATCCCTGGCACCAGCTCTGGGACAGGCCCTGGTGGGACTCCACTGGGGTTCCTGCCCTCAGGGAGGACACACTTCTGGGACCCTTTGAGCTGGATCTCAAAAGGTTTCAGCGTGGTAAGGCAGGGTGGGCCCTCCAGGCCAAGAAACCAGGGAGGGTGGGGGAAATTGTGCCAAGGGCAAAGGTGGAGATGGTGGAGGTCGGGGGATCGGACTGCTGTCTGGCAGGAACCTTGATTTTGAATTATGGGATGCAGGCTTGGTTCGACTTGGTCAGTGGCCTGCACTGCCCTCGAGTCAGTACTGGAATGTGGTGGGGTCCCTGGGCTGAGTGATGGTGCCAGGCACCGGGTAAGCGCTGTAAGGATGTGTCATTAGTTCCCTGCAGCACTATGAAGTAGATATTGTTCATGTCGTCATTTGAGATTAAATAATTTGCCCTCGGTCACACTGGAGATGAGTGGCAGAGCTGGGATCTGAACTTGGTTGTGTCCAGGTTCCTAACCCCTGCACTGTCTGGCTTCCCTGGGACAGACAAATAGATCGTTAGGGCTGCCTCTCCCTCCTCCCATCCCCGTGTCAACCTATCCTCACCCCCTGGAGCCTGGCCTCTGTCAGCTGTCTCCAGACCTGGGACAGATGATGGGCAGCAGGGCAGAAAAAGGATGGTTAGAGGCCAAGGACCCACTGCAGCTGTGGGGCCAGGCCCAGTGTACTCAACGAGCATTCCTGGCACTGGGCCTCAGTTTCCCCTTTGGCAATTGTGGCTACCCACAGCCTCCTCTTCTCCTAGACCCTTGGGGTTCAGGAGGGCTTGGGAGGACCAACAGCAGTGATGGTGGAGGTTGTACAGGTGACTGCTTACTGATGTGTGTGCATCACCAAGCAACGTGTGTGGGGAGGGGTCTGGGATGGGCTGGGTTCCCGTGGAGTTGAGCTTGAGCTGCAAACAGTAAGGGGAAGAGGGGCATGCAGGTTTGTGACTGGCTGAAGCCAGGAGTATTCTGATTATGTGAGCACGAGTATGTGTGTGTGATGGGATGTGTACACAGGAAGCTGTTTCTGAATACATTGGGCCTGCGCCCAGTGACACATATGGCTGGGTGGGTCTGGCCAGTCCCATAGCACTGGGTGTGTGTCTGTGTTGCCTGAGAGTAGGGTGAGTGTGCTCAGGCAGAACCGGTGCTGCCCGCCTGCCACATTGCTAGGATCCGGCCAGGCCCTCCCCTGGCTGGGGGCAGGGCTGGCGAGCAGGCCCGTGTCAGGACAGGTGTCTCCAGTTCCTGGAACTGCTTCCTTGTCCACAGCCTTCCCCCTACCTCCCAGCTGGGCACCTGGGAGAGGGGAGGAGGCCAGAGGTCCTTTAAGGTGGCGCTCCCTGGCCAGCCATGACGAGGAGCTGGGCCTGTGGGACAGAACACAGCAGCGTCCCATGGGCATGGCTTGTGTGCAAGTTGGTCACACCGGGCCCTGAGTGCAGTCAGTGAACCTACCCTTCCCTGTCTCCCAGGGCCTCCAGAATGGCAGAACCTGTCTGTCCAGCTGTATTTACTCCCCGCCATGGGGGTTGGGGCTGAGGGGGTAGGGGGGAGAAGGCGGGGCAGCAGGAGCTGGGGCTTTAAGCACCTTGAGGAGAAAAGGGGCAAGTGGGAAGAAGAACCTCCTCTCTGAACCTCTCTTTGCTCAATGCCCACACTTCCACCACTGGTCATTTGCCATCATCCCCAGCAAGTCTTGTCGAGCGTGTGAAACCACAGGGCACTGGAAACCACACCTGGGGGAAGCGTGAGAGCTGACACCGCTCTCGGAGGTGGAGCCCAGTCCAGTGTTTCTCTCTTGGGGAAACTGAGGCTGGGAAAAGGGGAGGGACTTGGCTCAAGAACATGCTGTGAGTTTGGGGCCAGGCCTGGCTGGGTGCAGGGCCCTCTCCAGCATCTCGGGATGAAATGGCCTTCTTTGCGCTTGCGCGGGGAGGGCAAGGGCGAGTGGAAAAGAAGGCTGGGTCCTGGCCCCACCCACCAGGCTGCTTCTCCCCCTGCAGGTGATCGAGGAATTCTACAACGAGACCTGGATCCACCGCTACGGGGAGCCCATCTTGCCCTCCACACTCACCACGCTCTGGTCCCTCTCCGTGGCCATCTTCTCCATAGGGGGCATGCTTGGAGCCTTCTCTGTGGGCCTTTTTGTTAACCGCTTTGGCCGGTGAGCAGAAGGGGTCTTGGCCCTGCCCAGGGAGTCCCAGATGGGAGTGGGAGGTAGGGGAGAGTTCCCTGCCTGTTCCAGGGTATTCCCTAGGACCCAGTCCCTAGGGAGTCCCAGGGGATCCAGGGACTCACCTGACCTGTGACCCCACCCCCAGGCGGAATTCGATGCTGATGGTGAACCTGCTGGCGTTCGTGGCCGCTGTGCTCATGGGCTTCTCAAAACTGGGCAAGTCCTTTGAGATGCTGATCCTGGGCCGTTTCATCATCGGTGTGTACAGCGGCCTGAGCACGGGCTTCGTGCCCATGTACGTGGGGGAGGTGTCCCCCACGGCCCTTCGTGGGGCCCTGGGCACCCTGCACCAGTTGAGTGTCGTCATCGGCATCCTCATCGCCCAGGTACGCAGGGGCCGGGTCTGCTCGCCCAGCACTGCCTCCACCCCACCGCTTCAGTGGCTCTCGGGCCTGTGTCCAGACAGTCCTCTGACTAGACCTCATGCAGTTTTCCACATCCCTGCAAAGGCAGCCTCGTAGTAGACATCCTAGGCATAGGGCTCAGAGAACACGCCACCACTCACAGTGCTCCCAGGGTCTCCCTGGCTGGAGAGCAAGTCCAGATGACTTGACCCGCTCATCCCAGGCCACTCAGCCTCCGGTCCTTTCCTCTCACCCTGGGGATCCCACTGGTTCCTCAGCGTGCCAGGCTCTTCCAGGCCTCCAGGCCTTGATACCTTTATAGATACACTCCCCTCTCTCCAGAAGACTTTCCCTTCCCCATCCCTAAAATCGTCCTGTGGCACAGTAGCAGCCCCCATGCCCTGTGCTGAACGCATTTGTAGCCATGTCATTTGTCCTCCCACCAATGCTAGTGAGGTAGGTCCTGCTTTCCCCTTGTTACAGATGAGGAAACTGAGGTTCAGAGAAGTTAAGCCTCACATTAGTGGCAGAGCCTCCAGAACTGGGGCTTTTTTTTTTTAAAGCAGCAGGTGAAGGCCTCTGTGGGTGGAGCGGGGACCAAGGCAGGGGCGCTCACAGCCACTCTCCCTCACCTCCCCCCAACCCCCCTCCATCCCTGCTTCCCCCAGGTGTTCGGCCTGGACTCCATCATGGGCAATGAGGAGCTGTGGCCCCTGCTGCTGAGCATCACCTTCCTCCCGGCCGTGGTGCAGTGCGTCCTGCTGCCCTTCTGCCCCGAGAGCCCCCGCTTCCTGCTCATCAACCGCAATGAGGAGAACCGGGCCAAGAGTGGTATGGGCAGGGCCCTGCCCTCCTCCCCACCCCCTGGCCCTGCCCTTCTTCCTGCTCTGAGCCACCCCCACCTTCCCTCCGGTCCCCCCAGTGCTGAAGAAGCTGCGCGGAACGGCAGACGTGACCCGAGACCTTCAGGAGATGAAGGAGGAGAGTCGGCAGATGATGCGGGAGAAGAAGGTCACCATCCTGGAGCTGTTCCGCTCGCCCACCTACCGCCAGCCCATCCTCATCGCTGTGATGCTGCAGCTGTCCCAGCAGCTGTCAGGCATCAACGCTGTGAGTGCCCCCACCTACCCTTTCCTGTGGCCCCTGCCAAAGGAGAAGCTTTCCTTTAGAACCTGAACCCATAAGGGCACTATGCAGTGTCCCCTTCATTCTCTACTCATCCTGTGTCCTATCCCGCTGGGATAGAGGCAGGGGCAGGGCCCTGGCTGAGCCCCAACGACTCCTCTGTCCTGTAGGTTTTCTATTACTCCACAAGCATCTTCGAGAAAGCGGGGGTGCAGCAGCCTGTGTACGCCACCATCGGCGCTGGCATTGTCAACACAGCCTTCACTGTCGTGTCGGTGAGTCTTGGTGTCATTGCCCCCCACCAGTCAACAGCCAGGGTCCAACTCAGGGCGGCAGGGCCTCATGACTGAATGGCAGTGTTTACTGTGAGCCATGCGCTCCATAAGTGCTATCTTATTTCACCCTCAACAACTTGGCAAGTCCATTACACATATCAAACAGCTGATGACACTGATGCTCAGAGAAGTGCAATGGCTCGCCCACAGTCACAGCCAGGATGCTCAGCTGTCTGACTTTCCAAGGCCAGCTCTCCCTTCTGTACTGCTGTCGGGCTCCAGGGCCAGCTCTCTCCTCCTTGGATCCTATGTGGTCCCCAAGCCCAGCCCTGGGGAGGAGATGGTACCCTCTTCCCCTTCATCTCTGCAGTGCCATATGGCTTTCCCAGCACTTGGGGTGAGCCTTTGGGCGGGGTGTTTCCAAGGGGCACCTGGCAGGGGTGGCACTGACACCGTCTCTACCCACAGCTGTTTGTGGTGGAACGAGCCGGCCGGCGGACCCTGCACCTCATAGGCCTGGGTGGCATGGCGGGCTGTGCTGTGCTCATGACCATCGCCGTGGCACTGCTGGTGAGTTGCCGTGCTCTGGGCGGGGAGGTGGCAGGGGGTGGGTGGAAAGCTCACACGGGCTTTAGATCCCAGAGGGCATGTCTCAGCCCCAGCCTGGCCAGCAGCACCCAGAGGCCAGGTGGGGCTGCCCTCCACCTAGTTCCACCCCCCAGGCCTGGACCTGACCTTTTGTCTCCTTAGCTTGTCTCCTTCCACCCTACTCATGCCCTGGCTTGAACTGGCTCCTTCCTGTTTGGGGCTTTCTCACAATAGCACCTCTGGCCCCAGACCCCAAGTTCCCTCTCCCCAGGGAGGTGCTTTGCCCAGTTCCAAACCTTTCAAAGTCTTCATCTGTAGCCTCAATTCATCTTCAGAACAGCCCTAGAAAGTAATGCCCTCCTCCCCACCTCAGCAGTGGCGTGGAAACATGCCCCATCTCATTCAGTCCTCACGACTGGCAGGGTAGGTCAATGAGTATTCCCATTTCACAGGGGAGGAAACAGCCCCAGTGAGGTTAGTAAAGCAGCAGATAAGGGCCGAAGCCAGGAATCGACCTCAGGTCTAAGCCTGTCACTGTAACCTCGGGGATAACCTTCTGCCAGGTGCTTCATGTGCATGAACACTCATTTCTCCAACCTCAGGGCAAGGAAAACACTCAGGTGCTCATTTTACAGCTGAACTAAAGCTTAGGAAATCTGGTGACTGCCAAGAGGTCCAGCACGTGGCAAGTGATGAGCAGCAGATCTGGGATCTGAACCAAAGCCTGTAACTCTTCTATTGTGGCCTCCTCGAGGAGAATGATTATGTACAGAACCACATGCCTAGGGTTTCCTCTGTGCCAGCCCTGAGCTGGGCACCTTCCCGGCTTCTAACACTCACCCCCAGGAATGTTCTCCCACATCCTCCTGCTGCAGGCCAACTGCTCTGCAGCCAGAGCCAGGGGACCACAGGGACCTCTTAGCACCTCCCACTTGCACAGAGGGTAGACTTGAGCTCACAGTCACCCTGCAGGACTTAGATCATCTTGTTCAGATGAGGAAAGTGAGACCTAGTGCAGGGTCCCCAAGTCACACTGCAAATCCAGGAACAGCCCCAGGCCTCCTGCCTTCTAGCCCAGAGCCCTTAGCCCCGCCCTGGGCTGCCTCTGCAGTTTCTGTTTCCTCTGAGAATCCATCACTGCCCAATCTAACTGTCCTCCCCTCTCTTGTCCTCAACAGGAGCAGCTGCCCTGGATGTCCTATCTGAGCATCGTGGCCATCTTTGGCTTTGTGGCCTTCTTTGAAGTGGGCCCCGGCCCCATCCCTTGGTTCATTGTGGCTGAACTCTTTAGCCAGGGTCCTCGCCCTGCTGCCATTGCTGTCTCTGGCTTCTCCAACTGGGCCTCAAATTTCCTTGTGGGCATGTGCTTCCAGTACGTGGAGGTGAGAACGCTTGTCTCCACACTCACCGTGTCTCTTCTGCATGCCGGCCCCCATAGTGCTGTGCAAAGTGCTGTCCTAGCTGTTCACTGGGATCATGCTGAGGAGGAACTTGAGGCTCAGAAACCCAGTCACATCGCTAAGAATCCTGACCTCAACTCCAGGGGTCTTTCCTTAGCTTGGAATTGTCCCCACTCCCCTCTGTAGTGGGAACCCTTCCCTGGAGCCTGGTACGTGCCAGGTGCAGGCGGTCTCAATTATCCGGCACTCCCGGGTTGCGGGTGGCTGTTCCCTTTTTCAGGTCAAAGGCCCAGAGGTAAGGTGATGTAGCCAAGGTCTTACAACCAGGATCCAGGGTCAGGGCTCCAACCAAGTGTGTCTGTGTCTTTCAGCAACTCTGTGGTCCCTATGTCTTCATCATCTTCACCGTGCTCCTGGTTCTGTTCTTCATCTTCACCTACTTCAAAGTTCCCGAGACCAAAGGCCGGACCTTCGATGAGATTGCTTCTGGTTTCCGGCAGGGGGGAGCCAGCCAAAGTGACAAGACACCCGAGGAGCTCTTCCACCCCCTGGGGGCTGATTCCCAAGTGTGAGGCGCCCCGCACCACCAGCCCGGCCTGCTCCCAGCAGCCCCACGTATCTCTCGGAGCACAGGCAGCTGGATGAGACTTCCAAACTGACAGATCTCAACGGAGCCGGGCCTGGGGCTCTATTTTCTTCAGCCAGCAATGATGTCCAGAAGAATATTCAGGACTTTCATGGCTCCAGGATTTTAACAAAAGCAAGACTGTTGCTCAGATCTATTCAGACAAGCAACAGGTTTTATAATTTTTTTTATTACTGATTTTGTTATTATTTTTTTATCAGCCAGAGTCTCCTGTACCCACCCCCCAGGCTTCACCCTGAATGGCTCAGTGCCTATGGGTGGGGACCAAGCCCTACCTAGACACTTGCCTTCTTCACCAAGCTAATCTGTAGGGCTGGACCTGTGACCAAGGACACACTAATCGAACCACGGACTGAGGCTTCTACTCGAGGTGGCTCTGGCCGCTCCCTTCTGTTGGCCTGGATCTCCCCACCCTAGAGGTCAGGCTCCATTAGGATTTGCCCGTTCCCATCTCTTCCTACCCAACCACTCGAATTAATCTTTCCTTGCCTGAGACCAGTTGGAAGCACTGGAGTGCAGGGAGGAGAGGGGAAGGGCCAGAATGGGCTGCCAGGTTCTAGTCTCCTTTGCACTGAGGGCCAGATGATCAATCACTATGAGAGGAGGGCCACGGGGAGGCTGATAACTCACTGCTCAAGAAGACATGGACACTCCTGCCCTGCTGTGTATAGATGGAAGATATTTATATATATATTTTTTTTGGTTGTCAATATTAAATACAGACACTAAGTTATAGTATTTCTGGACAAACCAACTTGTAAATACACCACCTTACTCCCTCTGTAACTTACCTAAACAGATATAAATGGCTGGTTTTTAGAAATGTGGTTTTGAAATGCTTGTGGGTTGAGGTGTGGGAGAGAAGCAACGGCTGGAATGGCCTCAGACTTTTTGACTTGAGGTCCAGTCCCTTCCAGGCACCTCTGTTTGGTGTACTCTACTCTATTGCTCAAAAAGCTATATGATCCCTATTACCCAGAGAAAATCTAAATATCTTGGCATTCAAGGCATTCCCATTTTCCTTCGCATATGATAGATGGTATTCAAAAAATGACAGCTATGTGCTAAGCTTGATGCCCAGGCCTTGACATGCCTTATCTTGAATGTGAGGTAAGTACTATATGTACATTTGACAGGTTCAAAGAGATTATGTGCCTGAAGTGTCACAGCAAATAAGCCAAAACCCCTGCTTTTAGCAATTATGCTACACAAGCCCTACCCCATATCCAGCTGCTCCCCACACCCCCATATAAGCAAAATGAAACATGTTCATTTCTTGGGCCCAGTGAGCTGTCAAGCTGCCTTCTCCCACCCATTTCATTTGCAAATGCCCCCTCTGGTTCCAGCTCATGTGTTACTGCCTCCGCTTTAAAGACTTCTGACCCTTGTCTCTCACCCCTGAATTCCAAGACCGCTTCATCTGTTCCTTTCCTGTGACACTATACCCTTCCACCCTTTATCGCAGGGCCCAATTTCTCCCACATCTCAATTTCACGAAAGAAGTCTCCCTTTGGTTCATCTGGGTCTTCAGCACTAAGTGCAGAGCTTGGCACACAGCAAGCACTCCGAAAATATTTGATGTAATAAAACACCAAGGATATTTGTCCCGAGACTCGGCTGACAATGGTAGGGGTGGGGGGTGGAGACCGGTAATTTGCCTGTCGAAGCCTTCATAACTGCACACAAGCAAAACTATAAAATCTTGGCATGAAGTGGGGTTTTAAGGAGGGGCTGAGAAGGGAAAACGGATTTAATAAATGTAATTACCTACGTGTATTATCATCAGGTACAAAGAATCTGAGGAGTTACCCCTCCCCATCTCACAAGTGAGGAGTGAGGTTTAGAGAAGGGCTGGGGTCAGGTGGGACGGAGGAAGCCTTACGTGTACCCAAAAAAGCTTCTGTTGAAAGGAGTTATCTCTAAGCTTTACGAGGGGGCCCCCCGGAGGGACAGTGCAAAGAGAAGAATCAGGCCCAGCCTGCCAGGGGTGCACTCGGGGCTGTTAAAATTTATGGCGGCACTCTGGCAGCTGTTCCACCGAATGGAAAAGACACAAACCGGGGGCGGGGATAGGGCTGGGCGGGCGCGCCAGCCGCCAGAGCGTACGGATGCAAAGCAGATGGCGCGCAGACCCCGTGCCGCAACTTGGCCCCCGTGCGCGAGAGCCCCTGAAGCCGGGCAGAGCCTGGCGGCGCCCCAGCGCCACCCCGGTCCAGCGTTCCAGACCTGGATCTAAAAAGTACCGAGAGCCCACTCCCCGGTTCCCTCCCCGCACTGGGTTCGCACCTAGCTGCCGAGCGCCGGCCATTTCCCAAACTGCGGGGCGCACGCAGGCGCCGGGAGCCGGGGCCCGCCCAAGTCATGGCCCACAATGCTCCGGGAGGCACAGCTTCCGGTCCCTTGACGCCTTTTCTCTAGGGACCGCAGTCCACCGCGGGTGTAGATTGGGGGCCGGAGCGATCATCCATCCCCCGCAGACCCTAACTGCCATGCTCCACGTCAGGCTCAGCAATTGCGTACCCACATTGCGAGCCTCCCTTTGTCCACACGCAGGAGGGGCGGAGCTATGCGGCGTCTCTACCAATCAGAGCCGCACGGTTGGGATGCCGAGGGGCGGGCTCCAGGCCTCCACCAATCGCTGCTCCGGGAGGCGGCCCAGGCGGCGATCCAGGCGCTGGCTGTTAGGGGTGCTGTGCACGTGGGTCTTCTGGGAGATGTGTTTGCTCCAGGAGCGAGCCACGGTGGCTGCTTTAGCGCCAGCACTCTGGGGAGTGTAACTCACCTGGGCTACCTGTTGCGCAAAGTGACGTCTACGGTTTCTTACGAAAGGGGTGAATAGGTAATGGGGCTGCTCCCAGGTCGTCATCTTTTCCAGCGCTAAGTTCGGTGACAGTTTTGTGACATCGTTTATCTGATATCCTGGGCTTAAAAGTCGCCTTTCCCTCGAAACCTTCCAGATCAGGTTCCCCCACTGGACCCCAAAGAGTCCTGTTTCCCCCATCAAAGCTCTCTCCACACTGTACAGGAGTTGACTGTCCTTCCACCAGACTGGGGAGGCAACTTCTAAGTCATCCCTTTGTCTCCAATTCCCACCACAGAGTATGGTCTGGAGTGTTGAATGAATGCACGAGAATTTAGACTCAAAGTGGTTCCACAATCTGAGTTCTTCAGGGCGGTTTTAGGCAGACAACCCAACAATCAGAATGTGTATTTAATAATAGGGAAAGAATATTCATTCTCGCCTGTCAAAACTACATTTTTAATGCCCCCTCTCTCAAACTATGATTTTTATTTGTTTCCTACAAATCTGACCCCTTCTGTCCTTTGCAATTGCTGGCCATAGTGCAGCCACTCATCATCTCTCCTAGGACCCTACAGCACCTCTTCACTGTTCTCTCTGCTTCCTGTCTCTTTCCTCTCATTCTCCACGCTGCACTCTTGGTGATCTTTCTAAAATGCACATTTAGTCATGTCTCTCTCCTGCTTAAAACCTTGCCTGGGTCCCCATTTCCCTTAAGATAATGTCCAGCTTCCTTAGCCGGGAAATTCAAGGCCATTCACCATCAGTTTCTAGCTCTCAGATGCAGCCTCATCCCTCACCACTGCCCACGACCCCACCCCAATTGATGCAGGCTCAGTATGCCAAGGAGTAGAAAGAAAGATTTCTTGGATTCTCAAGGTCTGGTAGTAGTGCTCCTTTATTCAGAGAATAGCATGGGCACAGGACCCATGAGCAGTAAGAGCCACAACATGGGGACAGGACCCATGGGCAGTGAAGAGCTGCAATGGCTTGAGGGTAGGGCTAAATTTATAAAGCATAGTATGTGAGTTATTTCTTTACAAGACAAAGGAAAAATCATGAAAAACATTGTTAAAATGGTATCAGTGTAGGTGGGGTCTGGTTATTGGGTGGCCCTATAACTTTGGATAAGAATCAGGTCAGATCAGGTCAGGACGTCCTATGCTTCCTAGAGGATGATATAGATCTGAATGTAGGGCAGGATGCCTTGGGCTTCTCTCCCTGGGGCAGCCTTGATCCTCATCATAAAATCCCCCCTGAACCCATTTGGCCCTGAAATCTTTTGGGGATATAGACTATGGTCAATCTTCCTTAACTACTTCCAGCTGTACAAAGTCATAGAGCTGTCCCTAAATGGGGCCATAGGGGTACAGGCAGAAAGTTCAGTGGACAGGAAGGTTGCATCCAGAGTCCAAGGCTGACAAGGTATACAGATCCTCTGGAGATGAGAGAATCATTTGACAAGAAGGGGTCCAGGAGGTGAAACTGTTGACATGTGGAAGACAATGAAATATACAACAAATTATAATAAGAAATACCAGCAATGTGATTAACCCAATGAATAACGCTTTGATAGTAGTCGAGAGGCCTTGACCTGACCAGGAGTCCAACCAATCATTTGGGGATAGGGTAGGGTCAGACATGGATTTAATTTGGTGGCTTATATGAGATAGGAAGCCAGAGATATTTTGATGGTGGTCAGGAATATAGACACAACATTCAGTTTTTATAGTGGCACAAGGTTTAAATTTTTGATTTAAAGAAAGTCCAGGTTCTGCTCAGGTCCAGCCTGAACTTAAGCTCAACTTGGTGACAACAGAGGTGGTGACGAATGAAACAGACACAGAAAGAAAAAGAGGAGATCAGGCCTCCCCCTCCTGGCCTCTTCCCGATGGTTATCAAGATAAGAGTCACATAACAGTTCCCATGCTGGGGCACACAACCCCAGCAGGACAGTTCACAGAATAAATCACAGGTCTCCTATCCTCATAACCAACTCAGTAGGCACCTAAAATACTCAACAAGTCAACTGCCAAGAGAGGGTGCCCCACTTAGGGTCGCCAGGGTGATCAGGCCCAGAAACCAGAGTGGGAGCTCTCAGGGGTGGAGCTTTTGACTCTTTGAAGATTCCTTTGTTTCTCGGTTGCAAAGCTCAAACAGAGACCAAAATGGCCACTGTAACTTTAAGAGATGAAAGGAAAGTTCCATTACCTTGAAAATCCTCCCTGAACCTAGGGTGGCATCCTACCCATTGTTCCTCCTGTGGGGTTCCTATAGCAAGGGGTGATGGGGGGGGGGGCTCCCCCTGCATTGCATCTCTTGTATGTCTTCCCTATTGTGCCTGGCAGTAATAGGTGCCTGGTGAATGGTTCCAGAGATAAAAGAATAGAGAAAAACAGTGAGGAATTTTCCACTGATCTGGGGGATATTCTACCCAATTGTGTCCTGGACCCATTCTCCCAAGAAGGGGTTCCCACACTTAACCAAAGTTTAGAGTTTGGTACTTTCCTTGAACCAGAGTCCTGATTGGGACTTTCCCACAGTTCAGTGTGGTCAGGAGCCATAGGGAGGGATGCCAATCCAACCTTAGGAAAAGAAACCTGCCACAGGAGTCTTGGAGATTGGCAACCGTCCTAATGACTTAAGTGGTCGACCTGTGCCCATGTAAAATTTATATATTAGAGATAGGATTAGGAAGGAATGGATTAATTCATTCTTCATCACCCTTATGCTTAAGGTACTGATTCTCTTTGAGCTGGATGCCATGGTTTGCCCCATAGAGTAGCCATGGGCAGCAAACATGGATTCATACAGCTGTCTGAGAAGGTTCCCGATGGAAAAGTGAATTTAGATCCATCCCTAAAAAAGAGGAAGGCACAAAGAAGAAAAGGGCACTTTCCAGAACTTAAGATCACAAGCCGATGAAGCAAGATCCCCATATGGGCCACCGGAAGAAATGATACGGGCTCAGTGAGCTGAGGAGTCGAAAGAAAGATTTCCTGGATTCTCAAGGTCTGGTAGTA